GAGATTGCCTGGAGAAGCAATGGAGCCTCCACCACTGGTGTCGGTAAGGACAGGTTAGACAAATTTTAGACAAACTTCCATCAGAGTGATGGGAGTGTAAGCTGTCCATCCTTGGTGGACAAGCTGGACTAGACTTGGTTTAGGTTGTCTTTTAGGAAGCCCAAGGCTGTCCTTCCAGTGACTGCAGGCGTGGTCCTTCACAAGCAATCTCACTCTTGTAACCAAGCCCCTGTGCATCTGAAAGAGTCTTACGGGTTTTTCTTTGTTTCTTTAAGGAGGCTTTCTTTTAGAAAAATGACATAATCAATTTTTTCCTTCATTGATTCTTACTATTAATTGCCTGAACAAATGCTCTGTCAACTCTAGTCTTATGTTATTCCACTTTATATTTAAATGACTTGGCAGATTCTGTTACCTCTATGTGTGTTCTTCCAACTGAAGGAAGGAGGCTAATAGTGTTACCTCAAAAGCATGATACAGAAATAAAACGTATTATTCAGTCTACCTCCCAAGTACTGTTTAGAGTGGAAGGGAGTTTTAATCTGAAGTTAAAACAATTAAATCTTCACACACAAACTGAGGTGTTTTAACTGTGTGCTGGACCCATTCCAGCTTCAGTGTGCTGGGTGTGTATTGATTGCGCAGGTGTGTGTGGCTGCCTCAGCTACACCATCCTTTACAGACTGAGGGGGAAACTTCAGATGAAGATGTATTGATGACAGATGTGGTGAATGGTGTGAGAGATTGATTGGGTTGTTGGGAGACCTGCATGTTCATTTCCTCTTCGCTACTTGACTGGTCTCAGGCTTTGCTCTGGCAAAGGGTAGCCCCTTTCAGCCCGACAGCTTCCAGCCATCCCTGGTGCTGCTGGCTTTGCAGCACTGCTCTGTTACGGTACCTTTGCTGAGAACTTTAGTTAATGACCTTTTTTAGTGCTTTGAAGGAATTAAGGAATTATTGAAATGCTACCGGGATTCTGCCTGGTTTTTGGGCTCCCCGCTTGTTCTTTGCCTGAGACTGAAAGTGCTGTGACCCTCTGGCTTGAAGCTTGTGCATTGTTACTTCTCATGCAGTGATTGTCTTTGTTTCTGCATCAGCTGATGGTCCCAGACCACACATCTCTGCAGTGTCTGGGAGCTGGACATTTCCCCTCTGTGTACTAGTCAGCAAACACTTGCTGCAAACAGCAGGGCTGGACTGAACTTTATGGCATTTTCTTGTCATTTCTGTTTGTCTCCATCTCCAGTTTCTAAGGTTTCAGTAGCTTTAGGTCTCCCTCCTTCAACAAGAACACTATGTAGACCAGACAGCTATTGCTAAGTGGCTGCCTCACATTTTGTAGAGGGTAAAAAATTAATTACTTGTTTAAAAGTGGTTGAGCAGAGTGGGAAGCTGCACATATGAATGAGTTTGGTTAGGTTTTTCATGCCCTGGGGCTCCCTGTGCTACTGCCCTCCCCACCTCTGTCTTCCTGACATCTTTGCATTTCCTTCCATCATGGTTTTTGCTTTTTCTCATTTTCCAAAATCTCATCGCCAATATCTAATTTTTTGTTGTGACTTGATAGGTTCTTTTATTAACTGTCAGTAAATATAGAAGGTGATGTAAGACTGACTGTTTCTACAGAAGACTGCAGTACAGGGAATCTTTTTCCCCACTGCTTATACTCCAAACAGCATTGCCCTGTGGGGCTGAATTGTCTGATTTATACTTTCTCTGTGTGCAGCAACATCTAGATTAGAATTTTTGGCTTTTCCCCTTGTTCCTGGCTTCTGGTGTCTTCTCTAAATTTTATACCTTTTTTTTTTTTAGTGCATTAAAAAAATCCCTTAAATGATAAGTATTGCAATGCATTAACTAGGGGCTTTGGGAGGGAAATTCCCGATCTTCTGCAAGGCAATTCTGTTGGAAGAACTTCAATTAAACATGTACATCTTCTAAAAGGTCCAAAGTAATTGGGAGTTGAGAACAGAGTGTTGGTTAATGGTATCTCTGGGTCAGGCTCTGAGCCTTAGAAGTCCGATGCTGCAAAGATTGTCTCTAGAGACAGAGCAGGAAAAGCCAGGGCCTGTTTAGATCTCTTGACAAAAGATATCCCACAGAAATTGCAAGGAGTAGTATCTTTACACACCTACTATTTTTTTTATTTTTGTCTTGTGGGGGTTATACCCCTGCCTAAAAACACATTTTAAATCTGTTATGTTAGTGGTTCAGCTGCTGTTCCTTCACTTCATCTTTAAAGGCTAAAAGTTGCAAGTGCACATCCTTTTGAAAAGGATTCCTCCAGTGCTGTGTCATCGTGTGTTATTGTATCCCCAGTGTGTTGGTTTGCCCTGCTCTGCTGGCCCTGTCATTACTGCTCTGTAGGAATGCTTTGGGGGTGCTCCCACGCTCCAGGGAGGTTGGGTGGGTGCTGTGGCACAGGGTTTGCACCCCGGGGTCCTGAGCATGGGGCAGCACCTGCTGTGGGTGACCCAGCTTCTGAAATACTCTACAAGTTCTGAATTTATCTACAGCCTTAATTACTGCCCATTAAAACCTCTCTGGTCCAGACCAAGTAGCAATGGAGGTGCATAGGAGGGCTGACTCACTGAAAGGGCTTCAGGGATTGTGAATGGCATCAGGTCACTTCAGTATGTTAAGAATAACCAGGTCTCAAGATCAGAGTTAGTTAAAATTAGAGACTGAATAAACCTCTGAGAATGTTAGAATATGCTAAATGTTCACACGAATAACTGTCATCACTTTTTCTGCGCTGGGGTTAGAATGAGAATAAAAAGAGGAGACACAAAGCACAGCAGTCTTTGCTTTCTGCAGGAATGGTGTGTGTTGGTAGTAAAAGTGAGCTAACTGCTGTCTGAAGGTGCATGGAGCAGCCTTGCTGTACTTAACAAGGCTTTAGGATCACAGTGAGTGCAATCATCAACTTTTTATTACCATGCACTACCAAACATCAAACGAGTATGTGTAGTTGGTAATTTCTGATAGAAAAGGAGAAAGAAAAAGAAAGGTTTTAAAATCGTGTGGAAGGACTCAGCCCTGCCTTCTACCTGGAAATATTTTTTAACTCCTGATTTATTTTTTTTTTTTTTTTTTTTAGAACCTGAAAAACTATTCCCCACAAAACAGCTATTGGAATTGGAAAACTTTATCCCTCATCTCATGAGGTTCCAAGTATACAAACATTACCTTAGGGATATGTCTGATCATCTTGAGCTGAAACACACAAGCACATCATTCCTAATACCTTAGAGGAAGTGCTAATTGCATTGGGGGTGTTTTCTAAGTGGCAGATGAGACTAGAGACACTCAGACTGATTGCTCAGTCATTTTGCCAGCCCCAGCATGCTACTGTGTTATCCTAGAGGGATGCCAGTAACTCCTCTGTGACCTCTGCTACTGATAGATGGGGGAACACTCCCCTGACCCTGGCATTTCAGAAGCGTTGACTCTTATTTTCTATTTATTGACACAAAAATCAATTTTAAGTTGTGTTTTTTCTGGGACAGGTGAACGGATGCAACTTCTTTCCATCTTGCTTTTGTTGTGTCCATGCAGTTTGCCTTATCTCTGCATTAAAAGCAGATGCAGCGACTGGAACTTCTAATGGCTCTTACAGTGAGTCACAATTGCATGTCTAGACTCCTTAGACAATTTTTACATTTTCTCACTAGCATGCAGGATGAGAGTTTCTCTCTGGTAAATGAGTTACACAGACCACTCTGAGCATAACAGTGTTCCTATTAGAAGAGTTTTGCTAGCTTATGTCAAAGCTATATCTTAGCTTAGTGTGTCCATGCTGAAACCTCTGTGATCCTTTCTCAGTTCTCATCTTTAGGAAGTTCTTTCATCTCATATTTACATAGGGAACCTCTATATTAATTTTTTGGGGATAGATGGAGTGAGACTAAGATTGGCTGCTTTGCTCCTTCCCCAAATCAAAAATTCTCTTAATATACATTTATGTGTGTGTATATATATATATCTCCTTTATTTTCCTTGAGTGTACAGGTGCTCCTATACAATGTGATTGGCTTGCGTGTTGCTCTTGCTGACAGGGTGTGAGGGTTCTTAGTGGTGTCTTAGTCCCAAAAAGCGACAGCAGCAGCAGCAGCAGCAAACATTTTCTAGACACTTTGGCCAAGTGAACAAAGTCATGGACTTAGCAATGAGTGCTGCTCTGTGGCTTCTCAGCCCTGGAGGGCTGGGTGTCAACTTTTAGAAGAGAGAATATGAACATGTTAGGTGGGGTACATCTTATGATATCATCCAGCTGCCAATCCAGAGACTGAAGGAAATATCTAGCTTAATAAAATGAGTAAATAAGGTGCTAAAGTGTCACTGATTGCAACGTATCTGCTGGTAATGTTTAAAGAGACAGCCTGGTGGTTGTCACTTAAAGATACTGAGGTGAAAATCTGGTGGTGACAGGGGCAGCTCCTCTCTGCCCACTCGCAGCCTTATTTCCCCCTGGAAACCGAGCAGATCCAGGGGAAAACAATGGGAGAGCCCGGGGTTGAGGGCAGTGCTGGGAATGCTGCTGTCAGTGGACCTGGCAGCAAATTTCTCCAACTAGCAGGGTCAGCTTTGCCTGCTATAACGAGGCAAATTCTAAATGAAGTGTTTTGCTAATTGCAGTTTGTTTTTCATCTCAACACATTTCCAGTGAAAACAATGCTGGCTTTGTCTACAGATGTAGAAACTCAGCACATCAGTACCCTTTTATGAAATACTCTTTATTACCCTGGAGGAAGGGCTGATCCAATCTCTTGAAAGTTTTTGTCAACTTAATTAGCCTGAATAGATTTCTGCTCTGCAGGAAACGTAGTTGAGCTATCACTATAGCCTTCATTTTACTATAAAAGCTGAACTTCATTTCTTGACACTTGTTACAACAAGTTGTTTGGTTTAAGGACGGGGAACTGTGGCAGTTAAAGTATCTTGAATGTTTGCTGTGATTTTCTAATTCAATAAAACTTTGCAAAATTCTCTATTTCCAGGGCTGCACACAGAAGTATATTGTGAAGAACTACTTCTACTACTACTTGTTCAGGTTTTCAGCTGCTTTGGGTGAAGAGATTTTTTACATCACTTTCCTCCCGTTTACCTACTGGAATATTGACCACTCTGTATCTAGAAGAATGATAATTGTTTGGTCTGTAAGTATTTCTGTGATTAATTTAAATGTTGCCTCTGTATCCATAGCAAATGAATACTTAAGAATAACCCTTCAAATAAACAAAATCCCTTCAAAGAAAAGCACTGACACTATTTATACATAACTCAGGAATGTTCAGTGTGTTCAGGAATCAGAGGCATTGTGATGCTGAGAGAGGAGCTGAGAGGCATTAGCTGACACAGGGTGTCTATTCATCTCTGCCACATCTTGGCCTGACTTTTTTCCCAGCCCAATCACAGATTCAGCTGCTTTTGATAAGGTTTACATAGAACAGTTGGGAAAACACTTCCTTCCCAATGTGTCATAGTATTTTAGGATAATTTTTCATCACTTTGGGAAACCTCTCTCTTATTCTAATTTCTTCTATATAACTTCATATAGTTCTTGCTTGGTTGAAATTACTGTAAGCCTGATAGTAAGGGGATGTGCAGGCTGCAGTAGGATAAGCAGTAATTTGAGGGGCAGGGGGGAAATCAGATTATCTGTGGAAAGCTAAGACTTAAAAGCATTGATTTTTTTGTTAATACGAGAGCATTCCCAAATTAACTGGTTTCTCCATCGCTTCAGCCTTCACAAGTGTGGTTTGTGGGTATCCAGAATAATGTATTTCCATTCTGGCACTGAAAAAAACAGCAGATAACCAGGCACTTCAGGCTGAGATTGGCTGTTTTGTCACTGACATTGCTCATCTTGGTATTGATCAGATCTTTACTGCCCGAATACAACTATTTTAGAACAAAGACGGGAGGTAAGTGAGCACCTCTGGCAGATGGCAGACCCTGGAGGTTTAGCTGTCAATTGATTTAAGAAATTGAAGTTGGGTAAAAACTTGGGTTCAATAGCTAACTTTTTTTCTTTACAGTGAAGCTTCTCTGTGATTTAGTCAGTTCTTTTTAAAAATATTCTGTCTTTTGACCAAATAACATGATAAGAAATAATAAAAACTACTTGAATTCCTAATACACTTCAAATGCACATGGTCTTGGAGAGAATTGCTCTGTGCCAACAACGCTAGTCAACGCATTTTATGGAGAGAACATGAAAAATAACTTACAAGTGAAATGTAGAAGTAGGTGGACACTGTATAATTAGAGCTGGGTTTTGGCCAGGAGTACACCTACTGCTTCTGGAAACATGCCACAGAAGATGAAAATTGGTAGTCACTGCCTTCTGCGTTTGCATATTGCTCAGAAAATGACTCTTTAGAGCTCTTCACATGCCTTTATGCAGACTTACCTTGCCTTTTTCTTGCGAGGAGTTCATCTGAGTACTGACCAGATCTAGTCTGGTTTAAGACCTCATCAAGTCTGTGACTTCCTCATGAGGGGAAGACGAGGGACAGGCACTGATCTCTTCTCTGTGGTGACCAGTGACAGGACCTGTGCAAATGGCCTGAAGTTGTGTCAGGGGAGGTTTAGGTTGGATATTAGAAAGAGGTTCTTCACCCAGAGTGTGTCTGGGCACTGAACAGGCTCCCCAGGGAAAGGGTCACAGCACCAAGCCTGGCAGAGCTCAAGAAGCGTTTGGATAACACCCTCAGGCACATGATGTGATTCTTGGGGATGGTCCTGTGCAAGGCCAGGAGCTGGACTTGATGATCCTTATGGGTCCCTTCCAGCTCAGCATATTCTGTGATTCTGTAATTAGAGTATGTGATATTATAATTATTAATATTATTTTTCCAGTTACTGAGGGAGTTGTGGAGTTGCACTTTATAATGAAAAGGGGAAGTTGTTTTAAATACATGGGCTTATGACAATCTGTATTTTTAAAACATGCTAATTATATGTAATTGTGAAATGACTAAAGATGTCTGTGCAGGCTGTGTGTTAATATTATGGCAAGCTCAGCTGGGTAAGTTTCTTGCTGTGAGCAGGAACTGGCATTAACAGTGCTGTAAGTGGTGCTGTTCTGTCTTACAGAATCATAGAATGGCTTTGGTTGGAAGGGATCTTAAAGACCACCTACTTGCATCCTCCCTGCCGTGGGCAGGGACACCTGCCACTAGACCAGGTTGCTCAAAGCCCCATCCAGTCTGGTCTCAGTCACATTTGTGACAGCACAATTGGCTTAGCTGCCTGGCAAAGCCGTGCTTTTAGCTAACTGGGAGGTTTTTGGTGATAGCAGTGGAAGGACACCTGCCTGGGGACGTGGTGGTGAGCAGAAGTGCAGATCTGCAGGCTCTCTGCAATCCGGAGTTCTGAAGAAATGCTTCTGAATGGATGATGATGATGATGGGGGGTGCTAAGAAGAGCTGTGTTAGATAAAAGTAAAAATCCAGGCTGCCTGATATCTCTGTCAACAGCTGCCAGTTGAAGTCTGGGATCAGTGTGAAGGGGCAAGTGCAGCACCCAGGCATGTTCTGCAGAAGGCTCTTACCCATCAGGGGAAAGGAGTTGGTATCAAAAGGACAGCCCTAAGGGGAAGGTACTGGTAGTTCCCTTTAAAGGGGATGTTCAGGATGAGGAGGGGCTGTTAGTGAAGATCTTCAGCAGGGAGAGTGGACCAGCAATGACTTTTTTGTGAGCCTGGTACGTTGGGAATACAGCAGGCAGGGATGGTGGTGACAAAGAAGGTGAGATCTTCTGCCAGGACAGGTGGGGCTGCCTGTGAGCACTGGAGAAACAGGAGGGTGCTGAGGGTGGTACTTTGGTTTGTGCAGTTTCCAACTTAAACCTGTGAGCTTCTGCTGCAAGTTGGAAATAGTGGCAGTTTCCCAGGATGAATCAGGGGAGTTTCTTCCCTTAAAAATTAAAGCAGTATTAATGCTGTGTACAAAGCTTTCCTGCCATCTTATCTGTAATATTTTATGCAGAGCCAGTCACCCCCATTTGAGAAAGATAATTTCAAACTGGAGCAGGGCCAGGGATGATTAAGGAACAGACTATTTTCTGAGCAAAGACTGAAAACTTAGATAAGTCTCTAACAAAATGAAGTTGGAGAGAGAATGGGGCTGGCTGCAAACACTATGGGAAAGGAGTTTCTTAAAATGAAAGTGCAGTCACAAGAAGAAACATGTATAAGGCAGTCATAAATAACTTAAGTTGAAACCAAAGGTTGTGAAATAGCCCTAGAAGGATGAAGGGCAGTAAGAAAAAGTATGGAGAGGTTTTATTTCAGCAGCAGCAGAGGAGTGGACTTGGTACCCTGCGATATCTTCTCCAGCCCTGGGTCCCCAAGGCCAGGTACTTGTGCTTTCCTGTTTAGGTGAATGGCTCTGGGAAGTGCTGGTTGTGCAATCTTCAAACACCACGTTGTGCTTCCAGTGGTGTCTTTCCTCTGAGGATTCACAGGATATGTGCAGGTTTTACCTTTCTGGATAGATGGAGGAAATAACTGAAACTTCTGAGCAAGATGCTGGGTCAGTGCTGAAGGTACTCCGGTGTCTTTGCTTCTCTCCTCCAGAAATTTGAAGTAAAAGCTCTTGAACCTGCACAGACAAAGCTTTGAAACCTGTGACTGTTGTGAGTTCAACCGGGAAGTACAGAGATGGAAAATAGCTTCACACAAACCAGGTCCCAAATGTACTTTAAATTCACTGCACATCTCAGGTCAAGAGGCGAAAGCTCACTTTGGGTTTGTTTGTTTGTTTGTTTCTTATTTTCTGCAGTTCTTTCAGGTCTGAAAGCTTTATTTTGGTGTGGAATTTCAGAGCTAGAGACTGGGGATAAAAATAGTTACAGTTTCAGTTTGCTGTTCAGCATGCCTGGAAATCTTTTTTTCTCGTTCTTTTTTTTTTTTTTTTCCCCCTAGGGTATCCACACTTCTTTATAGCCTATAAAACTTTAATTTATGCAATATAAATAAGAGCTGGCCAGCGTGGACTTTGTTGGGGCAGGTGTGGAAGCTGCTGGCATGTGACAGCGATAAGCTGCTGACTCAGGGGTAGGCGGCAGCTCCGAAGGAAGGCAGGGTTTGGGTGCCAGGTGATGCCAGGTTTGGGTGCCAGGTGATGCCAGGCTGTGTGAGCCCCTCTGGGCTCCTTGAGCAGCACTGGGTGTGGACATTTTCAGCAAGTCTGAGAAGGTCCTGAGTCTATGGCCATTTAGCATCTTGCTTTCCAGAGGAGCAGTTTTCTGCAGACTGTCACCACGTCGTTACTCAGGAATGATGAGCTCTCAACTCCATCTCTCCGAGTAACCTGGAGTTTCCTGAGCAGCAGGAGTTTACCTGCAATTGGGATGCCACTGACATTACTGTGAGGTTGTTGAATCCCCAAGCACTGCTTTGAAAATGCACTTTTAAGTAAACTTTGGGTTTAACAATTCTTATGTGCTTGTTAGTTTTACTGCTTTTGCTACATTTCACCAAAACAATCCTAGAACAGCTGATAAACATAGTCACTCAAAAGTCAAGCTCTTGAAAGTGCCATATATTATACTGCACAAGAGCATGTAAAACTGTATTCAGGCACATAAGTAACTACATAATGTCAGAATACAAAAATAATTGGTCCCTAAAAGAAAATGCCATGTGCAAGTTGATAAAATGTTGATAGAAATGGAATTTTGTAAGAACTGGTAGCTGTACTCCACCCTTGAAGAAAGAGTGCCAGTGAGGCTTTCACAACTGAGACCAGCTGTGAATCATTTAAGGTGAAGTTTAAATTGGCAACCTTTTGTATGTCACTAGATCTACGAGGTAAAACCAATTTTAGGTGTTAATGACAAACCAGTTCAGTGTGACAGTACTTCTTTCCTGCTACCAGGAGACTGGCCCCAAATTTCCTTCTTTGAGCCCATTATAAGACAGTCAACTCCCTTACAGTTTTTGTCCAAAGGCTTCTTTTAAAGACAGAGTGAATGTGCTAGGGTGTTGGTTGGTTGTACTTCTGGAAGCACGAGATCTTGTTCTGGTTTTGGGTTTCTGAAGCCTGAATTGAGACGAAGCCCCCCCTCCTTATATGTATATATAACTTTTTCTAGGGAGCTGTCCATAGTGCCTCTTCCCTCTCCCTGTCTCCTGCTGACCCTTGTCATG